AGGGTCGGTGTCCGAGAGCGGTGGGACATAAGAGTTCGTTCCTTTAACGGTTTCATAAGTTATGAAATTGAAAAATGAAGTGTGTCACAGTATGCCAATATTACGAATTTGATTGCAACAATTGAGTCCGTAGTGTTATTAATCACGTGATTCTTACATACCATACGACGCTAAAAGTAGGATCCATCGATAAAAGTTTGTCAGAGGATATCAACGGTCACAATCACCGACAAATCATTGGTGACTGGAATTACAGATAGATCACTAACGGATCTCAATACCAATGGAACCCAATACTGGTGGAACCAATACCAATGGACACATAGATAGATAATTAAAAAATAAAAATAAAATATTTTTTGATATGTCATAAATTATAAAACTCACCAACGGTTTTTTGTTTCATTGGGAAAGTTGTTGTAGCCTGTTTATTATCGGTGATCCGTCGAACACCGACAGATTTTCGTAGTCGGTAATCCTCGTCGATGAAAGTCATTATTCTAGTAGTGTCACCAACGATCTCCGGCAAACCTATGGTGTTGAATTTATCGATAAACTTAGTCATGGATGGTAGCATGTGATGTTAGTAATTCGAATGTAACTTCTTGTTGGTAAATGGTCGATGGTAACCTATTGGTAAAGCATGATTTTACATTTTGTTTATATAAGTACACAATTATTTTTGTAACATATTACCGATTTTTTTGTCTATTGCTAATTCTAGATTATGTCAGTCTAATTCAAGAATCAAGTTCTTTTCAACAAATTCTTTCCATCAGAACCCCATTGGTATTCGATTGTACCAACAACTTTTCCCATCGGGAAAACACTGATTTTTTGTAGTGTAGGTGATTATAAATTATACTTATTTCCTAATATGCATCATTTATTGACCTATGATTATGAACATACATTATTATAACGATTGTATGACTTAAGATCATGTGTTTGTGACAGTCGTGACACGACGTTAAACCTTCACAACGAAACAATATGAAAGTAAACTTTCACGGTATTTTTGTTGGGAATGATTGATGTTCTTTTATAAAATTACAATTTAGTCTGTAAAATTTCAAGTCTTATTTTATAATATAATGTTTCTTTAAATCCAACCCAACCCAACTCGTTACATCGCATCATTGTATAACAAGCTACTAGTTGTGTACCCGCGCAATGCGGCGGGAGCCGTGAATTTTAATGATTTTGAAGTTTCACTGGTTTTATTAGAGAAGATTTAACGATGATATAAATTACACTTGGTCTTTACATATTAATACAATTTGAATAAATAAGAGTTATGGTTTCAATTACAGTTTATCGATAAAAAAAAATTATGACAGTTTAAAAATCCAATATATTTAAAATCCAACATATTTAAACGACTCCACAAATATGTTCGATTTACATCAAAAGCAAAGAATCAAGAGAACAGAAATAGAGGTATGAGAAAGTGAAGACATAAGTGAAAGATGTCAAAAATATCTTCGGAACATGAAAAGAAAAAGTAATAATATGCATTGATAACTTATACTATTTGTTATTTTTTTTTATTAACCTGGATATCCAATCCGCTATGCGAGCCGACTAATCCTAAGGCTATCACCTGCTTTGCAGATAACTATTTGTTATTTTAATTGTAGATTGAGATATTTGTAAAAGTAAATGCATAAAGTAGTAATATTTAATGCATTATGAGTTGTTTTTAAGACTTTTATAACTTTGTGCATAAATGTATAGTACTTTGTGCATTAAAAATTGTTTTTAAGATTTTTGAAAAATCTGGTTTATAAGATAATATAAATATAGATTTCTGTAGGTAAAGCTTAAAAGTCATCTTGGGGAAAGCTTAAAAGTCTTTTTGTGTTTTAGATTTCTGTAAGGAAAGCTTAAAAAACAAGTACTTTTGTGTTTAAAAAACAATTACTTTGTGTTTTAGATTTTGTATTTTTTTAAGACTTTAAAATATTTATCAAATTTAATTAATCTATACTACATATATAACTATTTAGACCATTATCTTAATTACAACCCTTTAAGCATAAAGTACTGCCATTTTATGCTTAAATTTCAAAAAACTCTTAAGGACAAATCATAAAGCACAATGTACAACTATTTGATTCAAATTTCAAAAATTACAAAATTTTTATCAATATATATTACTGCATCTGTTTTCGTCCATTTCTCTCCCGTGCTCTCCTCCATCGTCCCTGCTCTCTCCGGTGCTCTCCTCCGTCGTCCCTGCTCTCCTCCGTCTTACCAGCATCGTCGTCTTCTTTCATCACACAGCAGGTTTTCTTCATTTCAATTCTTCTACTCTATTCAATCATCTCTTGTTCGATTCTTCATCTTTGCTCTTAATATTATGTTTCTGCACTTGAGATCAAGCCATGGCTCACTAAAGTTCCAAAGACAACAAGATTAAAGCACCCTTATTGTTGGTTCTTTTTTGTACTTACTTTTTGGCTCTTTTCCCTCTTAAAAAATGGAAACAAGACTCCGTCTATGTAACTAATGTGAATCTATGGTATTATTAATTTCATGCAGCTTCCCTGGTAAAGCTGTTGGGGGTGAGCATCAAGGAAGCTGCCAAGGTGTGTATAGCTTTGGAGGATGACAATCTTCATCTTATCATCTTGGATATGATGTTGCCGAAGGTCTTTTTTTTCACTTACGCTTGGACATAGCATTCTTGATATGTATACTAATTTGTTTGACCTCTATTTTTGCTTTTCATTGTCCAGCTTTTCATCGCTTCTCCATTGCCGTCTCCCACAGTGGTCGTCGCTCACCATCTCCGTCGCCGTCTCCCACGGTGGTCGTCGCTCACCATCTCCGTCGCCGTTTCCCACGGTGGTCGTCGCTCACCATCNGTCTCCCACGGTGGTCGTCGCTCACCATCTCCGTCGCCGTTTCCCACGGTGGTCGTCGCTCACCATCTCCGTCGCCGTCTCCCACGGTGGTCGTCACTCACCGTCTCTGTCGTGTCTCCCACTGTGGTCGTCGCTCACCGTCTCTGTCGCATCTCCCACGGTGGTCGTCGCTCACCATCTCCGTCGGCGTCTCCCATGGTGGTCGTCTCCGTCGCAAAGAAGATGTAGAAACATGTAATACTTTTGGTTCTGTTTTGCAAAGAAGCATCTGATCACAGCCATCTGTTTTGGGGGTTCTTGACGAACGTGCTGCACACCTTTTGTGGTACTTTTTGCAATTACATTATTACTTTTGGTACATGGTTTATCCACCAAATATAAAAAGAAAAACTTACTGTAGCAACTTCTCATTTGAGGTTGGGAATGCCTCTTGGATTTAAATAAATTACATTTTTTCAAGCTTTTGTTCAAGTATAAATTTGTATTTTGAATTAATAGGTTTGTTTGTTAAATAGGTAGTATTAAAAAAATGAAAGAGATTTGGTGATTAAAATAATTACAAAAGAAAAAAAAAATCTCAATCTAAATCCTACAAACCAAACATGATTTATAAAGGAATGGATTTCAAATTCAATCCAAATCCTACAAACCAAACACATGAATGAATTTTAAATCCAATCCAAATCCCTCCAAATCCAAATTCCTCCTCCAAATCCAAATCCCTCAGAAACATTCTTGCAGTCAAGCTCAAAACAATCAGGTACCACTCTTATGATTACGAGAACAAATTTATAGTTTACTCTAAATTAAAATATAACAAAATCCATGATTTAAGCCTTAAAAAATAGTGAATGATTAAAAGGTAAAAGGAAAGCAATTCCATGATTTAAGGTATGTGCCCATATTTCATAATACTTTAAATAAAATGAATAATAATATTTTAGAAACATTTATAATTTTTTTTATTAGCTTGGATATTCAACCGGTTATACGAGCTGACTAATTTTCGGGTGATCACCCCTTTCACGAGTGGTCCGGAATCACTGCATTTGAACCTCCGTAACCACAAGGGGTTTTTTACTTTTTATTGACAAGTTCTAAATCTCAAATAAGAACCTGTGTATTTATAACTGATAAGTTCATAAGAGACTGGTATAACTTAATCATGAAGGTTGGAATCAAATCAAGAAAAATAAATAAACTGCATATAACTGGTTTGAATTAAATAATTATCAACCATTTAGACGAGTTCAAATTTAAGTAAATAATTTTGATAATTTGTAATTAAATAACTATGAACCATTTAGCTGCTAAAATGATGTTTGGTTGGTTTTCTTTTGAAGTCATCAATGGATGCAGTTGTACGATTTATACTTTTATAGTTATTTATTTATATATATATATATATATACTATATATTTTGGGGTTAGACTGTTCAAATTGCACTGTATAATATGTTTTTGGGTTTTTTGAAATATATATATACATGTATTAATTCAACCTTAATCTGAGTTTCTGGACAAGAAATAGGGTAAGCAGTTGAAATTTCATTCTAAAACTCATCTTTTTTTGTCTTTTCATTGCTTATGATATGTCAAATTTGTAGTTTTCTTTATTGGTTTTGAGTGTTTATCTTAAAACTCAAGTTTCTTGGTTCTTTGCTCTTGGTGTAAATCGAATACATTTGTGGAGTCGTTTAAATATGTTGGATTTTAAATATATTGGATTTTAAATATATTGGATTTTAAACTGTCATATAACTTTTTTCATCGATAATCTGTAATTGGAACCATAACTCTTATTTATTCAAATTGTATTAATATGTAAAGACCAAATGTAACCTATATCATCGTTAAATCTTATCTTATAAAACCAGTAGAACTTCAAAATCGTTAAAATTCATGGCTCCCGCCACATTACGCAGGTACACAACTAGTAAGATAATATAGATACTGAGGTTTTGGTCAAATCTTCATAACAAATTAAAATTAAACTTTTGTATTATTTAAAATTTTAAGAAAATAAATGAATATACATTTTCTCCCGTAAATTTTGAATGTTGTTTTTGAAAACAAAAATTACGGGGGAAAAGGGAATGATACTGGTAGTTAATGCGTACTGCTTACTAGCTTAGTAGGGGTGTACATTTCTGCTTAAGCCACCGTTCACATTGGTGAAGAACCCCAAGATTTCCGGCCGGTAAGGTAGGTAAGACCGCCGGCGTTCTTCTTCCGTTTGCTCTTTCTTTTTCAAGTAAACCTCATGTGCCGATAAATTTGCCTTTTGCTCCTTCGTTGTCTTCTTTACAACTTTCGGTTTTCCTCCTCCGGTGGTGCCGTTGGCCTTCACCGAAGATCCGCCTACAGTCGTCCGCTTGGCAACCGACTTTGACGAGGTTGATGACCTATCTGAACGTTTTAGGAAGACAAATGCATCACGGCCATCGCTATTGCACCGACCAACTTTACCTCTGAATCTCCAGAGCTTGGAGAAACCGGTTGAATTGCTCTTTTTACTGAGTTCCGGATTGTCCGTCGCCGATTGTTTTGACCAGGTGCAGTACGGCCCTGCCGCTATGCATTCAATTTCGTCATATTCCGACGTAGAAGATGTAACTCGATGAGACGATTCAACAAATACCTTGTCTACATGAGGTTGAATCGGCAATCGGTTTCCTCCTACGCCAGACAACAAATTCTGATCAAACAACGGAAATTCCGGCTGGATGTGGCCGTTTCCTGACGGTTTATCCACAGGAACAGACGAATTATTCCCTCTCGCACACACAAACGTAAAATCACCATCACCTTCATGGTTATCCTCCACGCCATCCTCACAATCTAGAAACTCTTCTTCGTCATCGTCATCTGCATGTCCGGCTGAATCCGACAACGGCTTTGTCGAATTAGAATTATCATTTTGATCAGACTGAAAACATTGGTTGGATTTGAATCTAATCCCGCCAACCGATTGATCAACAAAATGATCGGAATCTCGATGTTGATTACCATAACCGGAAGCCGAAGATGAACTCGTCGGTTTATTCATCTGCATCGTGAAATCAATCAATATTGATAAAACAAAATTGCTGTGCCGAAATCGAAAATGTGATGTTGTTGAATTGTTTGCTTTCTGTTGGAGAACGTTGGATAGATGAATACGGAGATTGGTATGAAGATATATGAATACGTTTGAATTACGAAGGGACTTTTTTGTATTTAGAGAGAGAGAAAAAATAAAGGCGGTAAAATGTAAAGAGGTTATCGGATAGTGATTACTCGTGGGCAACGGGTGTTCATCCAACCCAACGTAAAATAACTTAACATTATTTTATCTGAAGTAACTCAATGTTTAATCAAGTTGTAAAATTGTTAAATCATAGGTATTGGATTGATATTGGGTTACTATTATTTAAACCCAACCCAACTCGATGAACCCGATATACATTTATTTCTTGAATTTAATATGATTGTTAAATTTCTATAAATATATACATTAGACAATTACACTATCATGTATATTTTTCATATACACATATTTTCAATCTATTTACATCTCTATATAATTCATTCGTATATATGTTCAGCAACTGTAAACATATATATGTAAATTGAGAAAATTAACTGAACATGATATACGTAAGAAGTATGGATAAGTTGTATCAAATAGTTGATGATTAAAAAGAAATTACGAGTAGAGAAATAACATATTCAATGTTAGAAAAATATTTTAATGTACCAAAGTATCAACCCGACCAACCCATACGGGTTGGGTTGGTTTGGGTTGCACTTTGGTTTGGGTTTGATTGAGTCAAAAATTTTCAAACCACAAACATTTGGTTGGATTGTTTAGATATCTTCAAATCGATCAACCCAACCCGTGCGCACCCTTACTCGTGGGTTTGGATCACATTCAATTTTAATTTTGTATTATTTTTTATTATTAGTATTTAATAAATTACATAAACTAAGTAAAATATAAAAATGGTACAAAAGTAATATATTTTGTGAACAGTAAAACGAATAAATAAAATTTAAATAACTAATAAAAAGTAGAGAGGAAGACGTACTTGATGTTTAGAAGTGAAGTAAGTTTATTTTTGATATTATATTGGTAAAATGAAAGTTTATTTCATCTTGTAAAAGTCATGTCCAACATAGAACAATGATCCCTATTTTGTTATGTGTTATGTCAGGTCACGTATGGTGTACCGACAACACCCTAATTAAATCAGTTGGGCTTCACCATATGCTAACGATCTTACAAATAATTGGAATTACATGTCATGACTACGAAATGTTTAGAACATACAAAAAAAATGTGACAACTAGCAACAAACTTTGACAACCAAATTAAATATAAATAATGGTCAACTTGACCGACTCAACATATCCCATCCTAAATTGTAACCGATTGGATTGAGCTGTACAAATTTCTTTTTAATAAATTCGTGATTTTAGACCTAAATCTAACCTATGTACACTTCTACTTTATATTGACTAGAATCGTAATAGCGCAATGCAGCGAGATACATCTCGATTTTAATGTTCTATTTTATTATTTATCTCTGTCAATGTTATAATACGATTTTATGTGTTTGTAAGAAAGCAATAATGATTTTATTTTTGAATAAAATATAAATTTGAAGATATCATAAAAAATTAAAAAATATATA